TTTCCTCCACATTCTTGGCTTCCTTCTTGTTTCTCTGACCTCCGTGCCCAACCTAAAGGCATGACTTTCTTTCCATTTCTCTGTCCTGGAAGGCTGAGTTCTCAGCTTGTTTGCCATGAAGGTTTTCTCTTAAACAATAATAAAGTTCTTCCTAAGATTCCTTTTGAGATTCAGAATCCACGGAAGAGATCTGCCTTTCTTTCTATGGGAACCGTGGGGCTGGGCTGTCCAGTGCAGTGTTCTCTAATGATGGAACAGCACCTCTTTCCTTTAGATCACTCTGCAGGAGGCAGAATGGTGTTAACTGGCCTGACGAATGATTTTGGAAGTCCCTCTAATTAGAGGTGGAGCAAATAGTGAGTTTCTGGTCCCGGTGCTGTACTCAGTGTGCTCTGTAGAAACTGCAGAGTGGGGATGAGGTTTGCTTCTTACCTTTTTCACATTGGCATTTTCTTTCAAACTAGCATTAATCTTTGCATGGCTAGAATTTTACACCTGGACTGTTAACATCTAATGTATACAAAGAACTTCATTCAGCCATCTCGCTTGTGTGAAAACAAGCTACTGCAGTCAGGCAGCCTGTGTTTCCCACTGAGGTCCAGTTTTAACTTCATTTATTGTTTGTTCGTTCATACTATTTTTGAAAAGAAGTTATTACTGTATTTACTTTTTTTAAAAAAAAATACCATTTCTGTTTGACTTAGCTTGCTACCCATATGATATGTTCACTCTCATAACTCTGCTGTTTAGTTCTCTAAGGTACCACCTCCCCTTCCCTTTGCTAGGAAGCCAGCCTCTTGCTCATCCTATCCATGACTGTCAGCCTGCCTTGTTCCTCGATCCTGTACATTTACAGATCAGCTGCCTTAGTGCAGACACAGGTGTGGACTTCTTACACTGAGATTGTAAATTCATGTGCTATGACTTCTTCATGAAGCATTTCCTACAAGTCTGAGCCCTCCTGGAATCTAATGCATGAGATCTCAGGTTCAAACATAGATGTTTTGAAGCACATTTATTTTTTGACTTCTTCAGAGCATTTGTGATCAGGGAAATTTAAAATAAAAAATAAAAAAAAAAGAAAGAAAGAAAGAAAAAAGAAAACCCTTAATGATAGGTTCAGTATGTAGTTAAGCAATATATTGTGTAGAAACAAGCACAGGATAATCATATAATTTATTGTACTAACATTCTTCAATCAAATGGTGTTAGAGATAAGATAAAATATATGGCTCTAATGTGTGCCTGTGCTATTTGGTTGGTGGCAGGGATGTCTAAGGCTAGCCACTGGTGATCAGCACTTACTACAATAAGGGCTTATGACTTAATCTACTTACACAAAACCCAGAGCTTCTTAGGATCCTCATGGTTGGTTGGTTGTACCCAGTAAAGACTGAGAAAACCTACTAGTCTGTTACTGTTTTTCTAAATAAAGACAGAAATGGAAGATATAGTGGTTTTCCTGGAGACATTTTGATAGACTTACTTATTTGAACTGTGTGCTCAGTGTTCATGCTTGCTTAGTGCTTGTTTGTAAGTATGATGTGACATTTATATTCACTTTATGGTAGTACTGGGTAAATAAGAGTTAGAGTTAAGCTTTTTATCCTTGGGTTTCTAATAGCTACTGCCAGGTGAGCCTTATATGTTAAGATTATCTGATGATAAGGCTGCACCTTATTGTCTCAAAGTTCAAAGGAGAGCATTAGCTTCAAGGACATAAATCACTGGTTGTTATCTGCTAATTTGTAACAGAGCAGCAGGGAACAACGTTTATCTAGACAATCTAGTATCTACCTGCAGTTCGAGGTGGAGGTCAGCTTTGTGGGCTTAGGCCTTTGAACCATTCTGCAAAGAAGAGGTTCAGATTTATTATTTTCCCTCTGACACAACAGGTGATTTCCTCTCTTTTCTGAAGCTGCTGTTTATTTTTTCCAATCTCAAAGCCTCAGTAGGTTCTAATATTATTGGAGTCTTCAGAGATGAATCTGGCTATTTGGAGACAGAATTTCATGGTATTTGTTTTGAGTGCTCATTAAATTTTCTCTATAAGTTGACTGTGAGTTCTGTGGGTTTCAGGAAGTATTTTAAAATTTGAAATATCAAATCTTACAAAGTCACATACTTAAAGGGACCAGTAGGTAAAGTAGGCGATTGAGTCAGCAAGTAAAAAGCCCTTACTAAGAGGAAGACCTACGTCTAGGTGTAAATTAGCCTATATTACAAGAGATCCTTACCTTGCAGGTAAGCTTGACAGTGTCTAAACAAATAAGAAAATAAGCCCCTGTTGTTGCTTGACCAGTGGCCTGTCAGTTCATGGCTTTGGAATCACACTGCCAGCTGAATGAACAGAGATGACCTTACAAATATTTTACTGTATGTGTTTCTTTGACTTTGTGATACTGGCTACACTGCTTTTGAGAAGTGATTGCAGGTGTAATGTGATATAAGATGTGTAAGAATGTTCACACCTGTTAAAAGATAAGCCTTTTTATTTTAAATTGATTTGTTTTATGTGTGTGGGCATTTTGCCTGCCGGTATGTATGTGCACCATGTGCATGTCTCGTGCCCATGGGTGTCAGAAAAGAACCCCTGACTCCCAGGACTAGTGGTATAGTCAGTTTGTGAGCCACCAGGTCGGTGCTGGGAATTTTACACGGGTCCCCTGCAGGAATTAACTTCTGAGCCAAGTCTGTAGTCCCAGCTCTACCATTTCCAAGGGAGCAGTTCTGTTGCTGCCCCCCGCTCCCCGCTATCTTGCTGAATTGGAAGTGTTAGAAGTGCTGCATCTAAGTTGGAGTAGCCTTTTCCCAGAGACAAGTGATGTCAGTCTTCCATGTGCTTATTAGCATTTCTCTTTCTTCTTTGTAGAAATGTTTAAGTTCTTGACCTGTTTTAAAATCGAGTTGTATGTATTTTGATAATTGAGTTGTGGGGTTCTTTTCTGCCTTCTAGCTTTCATTGGTTTCTATGCAGTTCTGTGCTCTGGTTGCCTCTTTGCTCTTGGGATGATGTCCTTTGATGCACAAAGCCTCAAGTTTCTGTGAAGTCCACCTTACTTACTTTTTTTCTTTTAGTGCCTGAACTTTTGTTCCGTACAAGAAGTCATTGCTAAATTAATTGTCATGCCATTTCCCTTATGTTTCCTTCTTACAGTTTTACTTATGGTTTTAGCTCCCAGGGCTAAGTCCTTGATAAGTTTGAATTCCCTTTTAGCATGAACTCATTTCTTTCACACATGCACAACCAGTCTCCCTGATGCTGTCTGCTGAGGAAACTTTGGTGTCAATATTCTTTCTCTCATATTTGGTTAAATAAACTTCAGTTTTATTAACTGTCACCGTTGTGACTACAGTAATCTTTCCTGCCACTCATGGCCTTATAAAGTCCTAAAACTTGAGTATGCTTCCCCACTGAGAAAAGGGAGGAAGGCTTGGCAGCTCTGTTTCCTGACAGTACCATCACCATTTGCCACGTCTTCTATCTTGTTAGGTGTTTTTTTCTTTTTTCTTTCTTTTTTGTTTGTTTGTTTTTAATAATCATCTTTGCCTGTTGAAACTTAGAAGCATTGTGTGCTTTTCTGATATTTTAAATGACAGCCCTGTTTGTAAATCTGAAATTTCATTTTTAACTCTTAACCTCTCTGGACTTTAGGTTATTTTTCTGTAAAATGTAAGGGTTAAACTAAATATCTTGTTGTATATCTTTTACTGTGAGTGGTCTCAATTCATTTACATATGCCTTTTTGTCAATTAGTAAAAATTCAGTGGACAGTAGAAGCTCTCTCTTATCAGGGAATAACATTAAAATTGATATAGTAGAATATATTATCTGTGTAACTCTGTAGTTGTGATCCTTTCTCCATACATGAACAGAAGTTTTGCCATAAATATTTTTAATTCTCTTTTAATGATTAAAAACCCTTAGTTTCTGAATGTTGTAATTTATAGTATTACTACTTCTGTCTTTTTTATGAATAAAGGAGGATGGGCATAAATTAATATGCATTAAATTTGCATATAAAAGAAGAAGCCATCTAAAGTCAGTGATGCCTTCTCAAAATCGAAAGAATTCTTAAACTTAGGAAGGGAGAATTTTAGGGTGCTACCTGAGAGTTTCCTCTGTTAAAGAGGCCCATGGTTGTTTGCTGAATGTGCATATTTATTGTTGTTAAAGGCCTTTTGTTTTATCATCTCACCCATGGTATTTTTATATAAATTTGCGTATTAAATACGAGCAGTTGTTACCTGTTCTCATTCATTTTATTTCATAAAATTTTATTACTGCTGTTTGCCTCTTGCCTTTTTATAGCATGTAGGAATAAAAGTGTTATTATTTGCTGAGCATATTATCTGCTTGTTTCAGTTGGTTTTATTTTCTGATGTGGAGCTTGGAAGCAGTGGTTAACAGGCTGTGAGAGACTTTCTCAGCTATTCAGTTTGAAGTGTCTGAACGTATTACTACATCAATTAAACATTTAGCACTTAACCTATTTCTGATAAATTCAAGTGGTATATTTTAAAAACTTTTCATTTAGAATCTTGACAATCTAGTGTTCAAATCATAGTAATTTTGTTTATGCTAAAGTAATTTGCTAACAGATGCAGATTAGATTACTGCTGGCCTTTTAAAACCGAAATAGGAAGTAAGTCTGGCATACCCAGTAGCAAGATTTGGAAACGTATCTTTGATAGGGAATGTCTTTGGTAAAAGGGCTATAAATGTGTCTCCTTTGGAGATAGATACAAAACTCATAAATGATGTGCTCCCTGAGCTACAGTTCAAGTTGAGGGATCTAATGGAAAATGGTTACATTAGTAGCAGATGGACTTGGTTACTGAATTGCAGTCTCAGGAGTATTCCTGCACAAGTATTCCTGCACGAGTATTCCTGCACTTAAACTTATTTTTGAGATTTAGAATCTGACAAGAAGATGGAAACTTACTTCTTTGGTTGTTCTCTTGTGGTTCTTACTGTGTCTTTTGGATGTTTCATTTAGGCTATTTTCATGATTCCCACAAACCCGCCACCAACATTCAGGAAGCCTGAACTCTGGTCTGATGACTTCACAGATTTTGTTAAAAAGTGCTTAGTGAAGAGTCCTGAACAGAGAGCCACGGCAACCCAGCTGTTACAGGTCAGTGCTACTTGGAAGGATTTCTTGCAGCTTCCCGATGCTGCTGGGTCACATGACTGCCCTCTAAAGATATGAAATGTGGGTTGGGATGCATGCCTTCAGCTCTTCTGCATTTTCCTTTGTCTTAACATCTGTTCACAGTTCATTTTCCTACTTTTTCCATTTTCTCCTCTTTTGAGTTCTCGTCTCTATAGTTTCATTTCCCAGGCTTTTCCTTGACTCAGCATTTCTCCCTTGACTTTCGCTCCACTCTGATGTGTGTGGTATATTTGAATCCAAGATCTCTGAACTCCGTGAAAGGATTACATGTTATAAATACTGGTTAACAAGATTACCTAAATGAAGTTTTAGTGTCCCTACTATAAATAAACTTTGTATCCAGAACACCAAGAGGCTTTTAAAAAAATCTGTGAAATTTAAAGCAAAAAGAAATTACTTAATACTTGCAATAAATTAAAGATTAATTAAATCCTTTAATAGTGCTAAAATAAATTTATTTTTATTTTTACCTGTAATCATTAATATGCTTTAAATATTTTAAAACTTTTACCACCCAATGTTCACTTTCTTACAACAAATATGTCTTTAAGGTCATCTGACTTTATTTAATAGGAGTATTTTTTATGTGTCTTTTTTAATCAAGTGAATTCAAAAGCAAGCCAGCCTGCCAGCCTGCCTTGCCTGCCTGCCAGCCTGCTTGCCTGCCTGCCTTCCATTTTTGTTGTTTTCTTGGCAGTCCTGGAACTAGCTCTGTAGACTAGAAACTCACAAAGATCCACCTGCCTTTGCCTCCCAAGTGCTGGGATTAAAGGTGTGCGGTACCACCACCTGGTCATTTATTCTAAAGCAAACAAAATACTGTTTTCACAACTATACATAAAATAATTATTGAAGCCTGTGATACTGGCTACCAGTTATTGGTGTTTTAATATTTGTTGGGTATAATTGAGGAAAAAAATATGAATTTATACCATTTAACTTTGCCTTTGTAGCATCCTTTTATCAAGAATGCGAAACCCGTGTCAATATTGAGAGACCTGATCACAGAAGCCATGGAGATCAAAGCCAAAAGGCAGGAGGAGCAGCAGCGGGAACTGGAAGAGGAGGAAGAAAATTCGGTTAGTAATTAGGTTCAGAAAGTTGCTATTTTAGATCATCTGTGTCATTTTAAAGTAGTTTTTTGTTTTTTAAAAATCTATTTCATCACACAAGTGAGGCATTTATTAAACCCTTAAAGTTTGTTTCCTTTGATGTCCTTTTCTGGTATTTTAAGGATCAGTGGTTAATAGAATATAAAGTGGATACAGCAAGACTTTACAGGAACTTTTTATCTTGAATTTGGACAATTTGCATCTCACTATCTGGAACTTTCTTTTAACTGGCCCCCTATGCTGTGAAAACAGTAAATGCTAGTAAATATATGGCGAAATCGATCCTTTATTCATTGAATATAAAATGGTTCACCCTGTTTAGGTAGTTTCCTAAAAGGTTACACATAGAATTAGACGATCCAGCTCTATTCCTACATGCATACACATGACCAGTGCCTAGCTATTACAAGCAGAGCTGCTAGGGCCAGCCAGACCTGAGCCCTGGCAGCCTAGCAAGATGTCCTGGGACTTTCATTTCTATAGGGCAACTAAACAGGTAAGTGATAGTGAGAAACAGAGAAAGGAGATTTGATTCAAAGTGACCACACTGGGAAGAAGGAAAACAGCTCCCAGAAGTACCTCCCCTCCCCCAAGTCCATCTCCAGCCTCCCGACATCAGTCTTCAGTTTGAATAGAGGGCATGAGATGCCATATCTAAGCAATATTGGACAAGATGTGGTCCGACCCATCAGAGTCTATGCTGTCAGTCCATCCTGACAGGTTGTCAGAGAGATCTCTACATGGGAGACGAGTTTCCTCCCCTGGCTAGAACCAAATTCAGCCTTTTCCTGCAGTTTCTCACAGAGCTGCATAGCTCCTGATGTCACTGGAATCAGTTTGTCATTAAAGTGGTGCTTTTGTTGTTTTATCAAAGGCAGATATTTCATGAAACGTACACTCGTTTTAAAATAGACCAACACAAAATTTGATATAGTTCATGAATAAAATTGTAGACATACAAGACTGTTTTGTTCTCATTTAGAATATGGTAATTTTTCTGTAGTTTTCAAAATGTAGCAGATGAAATTTGTAGTTACTAATTACGGCAGAGGTAGTATTAATTACCACATAGTATTTAAACAATTGATTTTTTAAAAAAATTATTTGTGTATGCACTTGTGCTTGTGTGTGTGTGTGTGTGTGCTTTTGCATGCAAGTGAGCTTGTGTGTGTGTGTGCTTTTGCATGCAAGTGAGCTTGTGTATGTGCACATTCAAGAATACTTGCCATGGCAAGGGCAAGGAAGACAGGAGACAATTTTGCAGTGGTCTGTCCTCTCCTTCCCCTGTGGGGGTCCTGGGAATGGAGTTTGGGTCATCAGGCTTGGCAGCATGTGTCTTTACCCACGTTGGTATGGTTTATTGAAATATACAGGGAGTTGAGTGTGTGTGTGTGTGTGTGTGTGTGTGTGTGTGTGTCTTTGTGTGTTCATAAGTATTAGAAGAACTCAGTGTTTTGGCACAGTAACCGGGCAGCCATCCTACACATGGTTCTTTGTGATTATTTAAAAGTGAAAAGAATGGTGGTAATAAACTGAATTTATAAGGTAAAGCATAGATTGCACCGCTGAGAATTTGTAGTCCTTAGAAGTAGGTTAAAATTTTGCTAAGTAATTTATCACTGAAGTTAAAATATTTTCTTTGTCATAATGCTAACTTAACTAAAACATAAGGAAATGAAAGGATATAGAATTTTATATTAAGTGACATGGTGAACAAATACTTTATGTCAGTGTTGCACAAATCTTTCTGTTTTAATGCATGTATCAGATTGCCTACTACTTTCAGCTAAATAGAAATGTTGTATTGCTTTATATTAACTTAGAAAGGACATTGGAAAGGCAGTGGGAGTGTTCTGCTAACTTCTTTATTTCTGAACTCCAAGCTTTTCGGCATGTGTGTTTGGGCATGCACACAGTGTTCTCAGAGTGCAGCCATCATTTCTGTGAGTGTCATCAATAGTGTCCTTACTCCTCCACTGTGGCCAGGCTTGTGGTTTCCTTGGTGGTGGTTGCTGCTGCTGCTTGTTTTGCTGCCCACGACCCTAAACAACAGTGGTGACCCTCAGCAAACTCCCTATCTTAGGTGGCCGAGTGCATATGCAGTAGTGGAGATTGTTATAAATGTTAACTTAAGCTTTAAAAATATATTTTTTTTTGAAAGGTGACTTAGTGAATTAGTAGGGTATATTTATATTTGAGAAGAAATTATCAACTGTAAATTACAATCCCTTAAAAGAACTCATCGCTTGTTACTTCTGTAGCTCGTACTTTGAGATCATCCCCCTGTGGTACACACAGCTGTGGCAGCATTTGCAAGTGTAAAAGTTTTGATCCACATACTATTCATGATAACTGTCTGGGTGTTTCTTAGTGTTCTGCTGGTTTCTAGGTACAGGAGCAGCGAGTGCCACTGTAGGTCTGAAGCATGGGTAGCTTTTTATGCCGCGTTGTCTTTGTCCACCACTCCTGGTCTGTCCTCCTCAGACTTCCTGCAGCACTGTCCCAAGGGAGACAGTGACGGAGAGCTGACATTGTTTCCTGCTTTTGGTAGAGGCTTTCTCTGTTACTTCCTTGCTCTTATGCACCACATCTCAGGATTCTCCCAACACTATATCTTTTCAGACCTTGTGCATGTGGCCATGTTTTTATCCATTTTGCACACTGAGTGTGGAGTTCTGTATAGAAACAGTGTTGCTCCTGGCCTGGTGAGTTTCAGTGACTGTGCCTGTGGCTGGTGCTGATGCTGAGGCTACAGCAGGTGCCATTCTGGACACTTCATCCTGAGAATGTCTGACTCCTTAATCCTGCTACTTAAAACCTTTTATGATAATGCCATGGTATGACTTTTCCAAACTTCATCATGTCATGCCCTCTGGCTTTTTCATTGTGGAAATGCCCTCACCTCTGTGTAATTATTTACTATTTTGTTGTTTCTTGGTAATTCATTCCTCTTCTCTATCTTCCTCTCTGGAATGCCATTTATTTTTTGTTGAACTTGATACTTAATGTATCTTTGTAAATAAATCTGAAGAAAACTTTATGTATTCAGTGGTGAAGACATTTTTGAGTACCTGTGAGTTAGTAACACTCCTTTTTTTCTGCCAAGTTGTGAATAACTTTAGTTATCCAAGAAATGAGAGTAAAACAAACAAACAGGGTGGGAAGCAAGAAAGGCATTTATACCAAGATTTTAGTGCTACAGGAGAAAAAAAAATGGTACTGTCTTTGAATGAGCGGCAATTCTGTTACAAAACTACTTGCTCTAGGTTATAGAGTAGCATTGTCTTAGCTTGCCCTGTTCTCTCAGAGCAGGACAGCTATAGGATAACGGCCATGCTAATCAGGACTGTGCTTACCTTAAAGTCTGTATTTGTAGAGTCAAGGTTGTTTGCAACCTCTTACTGTGAGTCACAGCTTACCTTGTTTCCTTTGCCTCATGACAGTTGTGGATTATTTTGGATTTGTTATGCTTTGGGGGGTTCTTTGGATGAAATTACTGAGGCAAGGCACCGAGGATTGACTTTTAGGATGTGGTAGCAAGTTTTGATTAGATGTTTTGGTGACCCATGGATTTTCAGTGATATCTTTCCTCATGACGCCTCCTTTTATTATTTCAAAGATTAAAAGTTTTTTCAACATGGGGACAGATCTGTGTTGCCAGGTTTTGCTTTATATTAGAGGACCTGTACTTGCTGACCTTGCTGTTTCTAGTCTGGATGCTGGCTCAGTCCTTATCTCTTCATTAGCTATTAGGACATACTACAAGTTTGACATTTGATCACTGAAACTTTTTGTAAAGATAAATTTTTTAAAAAAATCAAAATTTTGCTGGTTTCAAATTTCTGGAACTTTGAAATTTATTATATTGAGTTGCTTTAAGAGATATTTATATTTTATATTCACTGTTCATACTTAGGCCAAATGTATCTCTTGCTTTTCTACTATGAGTGAATACAATTTTCAGAGAATTTATGAGTTATAGAAATAATAGCAAATTATTTTTTTTTCAAATTTAATTTTCTTATATAGTTCAGCTTACTGTAGATGTAGAAAATAATGTGTTGTGTTAAATGTTTTTTATTCTTTTGGCTTTTTTGGGGGGCGTTTTGGACAGGCAAAGAATCACCAAGTTAAATAAATGCAGAAAAGTCACACACCTTAAAGTAGTATTCTACCACTATAGTAACCTAAAATTAACTTTATTTTTCCATCAATTTTTAATATGACTTTTGGACAATATAATATTTGATAATCACTTCAAATATGTTATTAAAAATTCAGAGCTATGTATACCTGTGACTGTCTACTTACCCTTTATTTTTTTTATTCCTGATAATTACAGAATATGCGAAATTGTGCCTCATGGATATGGTTCATCCCCCCCTTTTTAGTGAAAGTTTCATACATTTGTGTAGTGGGTTTTAGTCACTTTTCACATACCTCCAATCACCTCTCCTATCGACTTCCCCCAGTAACACCTCCTTCTTGAGACCCTTCTCCTGCTGCCATGACTTTGTGTGCCCCTCCGAGTTCCATTAGAATCACTTGCCTGAGTCTTGGGCAGGAAATTTCTCACTGGAGCAGGGATGACTCATCTGTGGCTACACAACTGAAGAGTGTAGTACCCTCCCTCAAAAGCACAAACTGCTGATAGTCTTCCTGGAAGAGGAAGATCTCATGGGCCCTGTCCTCATCTCTGATGAGATGGTAATTGGCAGATCTTCCGTAAATAGCCACGGCTACAGTGAGTCCCTGAGTGCAGTGACCGTGCGATGCTCAGCACACATCTTTGTGTTGTGTATTTCCTCTCCTTGGCTCTTACATTATTTTCGCCTCCTTGTGTCGTGTTCCCTGAGCCTCCAAGGCTGTGCATCACTCCTTTGGGGTTCAGCACTCTCTCCAGCATCACTTTGGCTAGTTTTGAGCGTCAGTAAGAAGCTTCTCTGATGAAAACTGGACAGATAAGT